GCAAAAGCTGGCTATTCCACTGGTTTTCACACCCCACCTCTTATTCCTCTCCAGTGACTGCATAGTTGTGGTACATCTGTGACTGACAGTTTGTTACTTGGTGACTATTCAAGTGTTTGAAAATCATGGTCATCCAACATATATTCGATATAATGATATATATATCGGATGACGATATAAAAACGTCTATCGGTTCAGTTTACGCTATCGCTTGTTTCGTGGTGTCGCAAAATAAACTGTTTACGACAATATTTTTTCATCGTTTTGATGGTCACTGTAGTGGTTATATTAATTTCTTAAAAGTTCTCTCTTTCTCTTATATTTTATATAACCACACTACGGATGGACAAGCGCCTGTTTTTATGCGTTGTGGTTAGCAACAACGACGGTAAAACCCTTGCGTGACCGCTTGTTTATGTTCCAAATAAACCTTTCACAATAAAGCTCAAGATCCTGTTGAGACTTTTCAAAATAAACTGAATCACGTGAAAGAGCAGATTATTTACGGATGAGAAGTGCAAAAGAGCCGCCAGGTGCTAATAAATAAACCTTAGACTCAAACGTTAGAACAGGCTTTTCCCCGCAGCACGCCATGTAATAAATACTCACAAAGAAAACGGCAGCCGTTACATTTTTAGACATACAGTAAGTTGTATCGTTTCATACATCGGTTAAAACACTCGACTCCAGCTATAACGCGCAGCTGAAAACACTTCCTGCAAGTCGAGATTCACAGAATTTACAGAAGATGTTACATTTTTGTGATTTATATCGTTATCGGGACGATAGAATTCTTATATTGGGATGTGAGATTTTGGTCATATCGCACAGCCCTAACATGGGTCACACGTTAGTGCACTGCTTAGTATTGGCGACAGGCCAAGTGTCACCTCTGTGTCACTCTGGATTCCTCTCACAGTCCAAAGACATGCATGTCAGGTTACCCAGCTATAGGTTTGAATATAAATGTGAATGGCTGCTTATCTCTATGTGTTATCCCTGTGATATAGCAACGTGTCCAGGGTGCACCCTGCCTTTTGCTCTGTGACATAGGGATGGGCCCCTTTCATCACTATTGTGCAGTCGAATGTTAATAATATAAAGCTTTCTATACTATTCCAAGAGTCACATACCTTTTATATAAAGCTTTTCTACTCAACTTGAGCACTCAAAGCGCTTTATACAACAAGCCTCATTCACCCATTCATGCACACGTTCACACAAACACTTTTTCCTGGTCAAAGTTCTTTCTGTCTGATATTTACATGCATTGACACTCTGGTGAATGCGTCGGGAGCAACTTGGGATTTAGTATGTAGTTCAAGAATAGTTTGGTATGGAGACTGGAGCAGCTAGTGATCAAAACACCAGCCTTTCAATTGCTACATGACCTGAGGTACTGAGCTACACCCTAAAGATAACGAATTCTCAGGTCTAGTGTCGGTCCTGTGATGTGTGTTTGTGGCAGTAGTGAGAATGACTTCATTCCTAACTAGGGATACACCAACTCAGCTATTTCCACTTCCAATCCAACACCATTACCCTGGCTGTGGGTAAGTATCTCCCAGTGCTGAGGTTGTTGCTGTGGTGTGGCTAAGTAAACACGGAGCAGCATAGAACTGAACTGAATGAATCAGCTTATTGTCACCGATTGCATCGCTTATTGTGTCTGATCGACCTTTTTGGGTCAGTATTGGAACGATATCTGATCCATTATCAGACTGATGCATCCCTACTTGTATTTTATCCCAAACCAAAATCTCTTCCCAAATCAAAACAAGTTGTTTTGATGCGTAAACCGAACCCTAACCAAAGAGGGTGTAAGTCGCTGGTTTCTCATGCTTTCTTTAAAATGTGTTTAATGCATCTGTTAGAATTTTATAAAAGCCATTCACATAGTATTTAGAGATCACAGTTACGATTCATGTGCAACAATTTACATAGTATAGTTCTACATTTCTCGCTACCCAGACAAGCTGATTCATTCTATATATGACAACACGTAGTGCAGCTGTGCAGCAAACCAATAAACTTTGTCTTTAGATTTATACACACTATCCATATCTGAAGAGGCTCCACTTCAGTTTAAAGATGACTACACTTCAGGATTTAACAGTAGGGCTGATTTAAATCTAATGTGACCGGAATCCAGATGACACAGAGTTAAAATTAGACACACTTGCCTAAAAAGTGCTGCGTTATAATGTCTGGATCATAAAGAAATCTGCAGTCTCTGGAGAAAAATACCAATGACAGTGCTTAATAAGGACACAGTAATAGTGAAGTATACAATCAAAACATGCTGTAAACACGGACTTTCCGCTCTCAGTGAAGACGTGCGTTTCCCGAATTTGCCCTGCAGTGACCCCAGGCTAAGTGAGAGGCTGTGGGAATGAGGAATGTAGCAATGTCTATTATCTCAACTGTCTTCACTCATTTCCTCTTCATTTTAAACCTCAAATGTATAATTGCATTTATCAAAAACTGTGCGACCTGACCGCACAGGCATTCACGCTATAAAATATTTTCCAAGCCAATAGAAGTAGCGTGATGGCAGCAGCAGTGGATCACAGGAGGTTGCATAATCCTTTTTACTTGTGGCGATTCAGTCAAAGCTGTTGGAAGTGCTGCTACAATATGGACGACAAGCATTTAATCGCTTACATGAACGCAAACAAACCAACCATCTTCAGCTAGTTATTCTATTCACCCAAGTCCTTTTGCTAAGGAAGAATGATTTTTATGCTGCTGAATTTAAGTTTTCTTGTTGTCCGCTGCCTCTCGTTTTTGTTTCCTCCTCCTTTCTTTCACTCACTCTGTGTCCAAAGCCTTCTCCAACCTCTTGTAGAGCTCTAATATCTCTCCAACACACGCCCATTAATCTGTCACATGTGAAACACTGTGGTAGCTGGTCTGGTTAGGCAAGATAAACAAATCTAGCAACTTTCCAGACCACTGATTTTGTATCAGTGAGCATATGTAAAACAGGGAAACGGTACGACACTTGGAAACTAATTCAGTTTTACTTCTAGCCTGATGCACTTCTTCTTCATTTTGTTCGTGGATTTCGTGGCTTTAAATATTCTTGTGTTTAGCTGTAAGCAAGATTCTCTTTGTGGCGAGATTGTGCATCAGCTGTGCCAAGAATTTCAAGAGAGGAATTGTTTTTTGTTGCTTTGGAAAGCTAAGCAGCAGCATTTTACTATATAGTTTTGCATGAAGTCAGAGAGGACGTTTAGCTGCATGGAAGAGCACGTCAAGCTGTTGTGGGATTCTTTATGATTTCAGTCTCACTCACACACACAGAGCTATGAGTGCCTTTCCTTTATGTCCCGCAGACATGCTTTCTTGTGCTGCACATTTTCCTCTCATGTGGAAAACAGAATACATAAATGTAGGTCAGAGCTACAGACTGCAGTCCACATGCCTCTTCTGCTGGAACCGGCTCCAGCTGCTATTCATGCTTTCCCACACTTCTGCCAGGAGTTTCGAATGAAATGCCGTGTAGCATGACCTCAGATTTACAGTTAATGGATGAGTGTCAGGCAAGTACTTACAAAGCAGAACACCTAGCTTGTCCAGACTAGTCCTGCTTCCTGATTTTGAGCTCAGGCTTTTTGAGGCTGACGGTCTGATGGGAAATGCAGCAATGGCGACGTGCCATCCGACTGCCATGTTCGGCAATTGGAAAGTTACTTCATAGCAGTCTGGGTGAATGTGGTCCCGACTAGCAGTAGGCACACTGAAAGTAGACGTTTGGTATGCAGTGAAACAAGAAGTGATTGTGTGGTTTCCTCGGTGTGCTACCCTGTAAAGTGTATAGCTTACAGTAGTTAATGTCTGGGGAGAAGGTTCCAATGTTTATCTTGAGATATTAAAATCAGCATAGCGATATAGCATGTTGTACTATAATGGTGAGTAATAAAAGTCTGTGACTGTTTCTGTGCTGTATTTATCTTTTATTACAGCATATGGGGATTTTTTTGGTTTAAAAAAAAAAGACCACAGACAATTTAATTGGGAGGTGAAAGGGGTTGGCATTTAAGGATTAGATTTAGCAAATTAGACAAAAACATGGTGTTTAGCATGCAGTAGTGTTCTTTTATTTGCTTGGTTTATCATTTTAGATTTCTGCATCCTCCCAAAAACAATAGAGGTACTGGGAAATATGTTTCTTGTTTTAAATAAGTCACTCTGTATAATTCTGCTAGCACTTTCACGTTTCACCCAGAGCAATAAAGTGATTCCTAAGAAACTATTGAGCTGTTTTCTGCAGACTCTCCAGAGCAGAGTTACTATAATGATTTTAGTGTATATGTGTGTATATATGTCTGCATGTTGTGCACCAAAAATGGTAATTCTTCACCCTCAATATACATAAAGCAATCATTTTGAGTAGAACACAACTAAAATAAAAAACAAAACAAAAGCCAAAAGGTTTATTTTATCCAACTCCTCTGCTTATCCAACTCAAGGTAACATTTTACATTGTACTTGTGCAACAAAATTACAAATTTACATGTAACTAATTCAGTTAAAGTCAGTTTTTTTTTTCTTTTTTTCAGACATCGTCACACATACAGCAATTATTAATATCTGTGTGTGTGTTTGTGTGGTGGTTTTTTTTCCATTTAAAATAAGATTTATTATAAATCCCCATTTTGATTGATCAGTCATATTGATCATCGCTCTAAATTGAATGTCAAGTTCAGCGTAATGAAAGCTTGTTATGTGGCGGTCACCAAAATTTCTCTCTTTAATGGAGTTTTGTTGGAGACGCTATTAAATACAGAGTAAAACATTTGAAAAAGTGTTGCAAGCCTGGCAAAAAAAATGCCCACAGGGCATCATCTTTGAGGTTTTTGTGTCATTCGCTATTACGTCTGAATAAAAAATGCAGTTCTCAGAAGCTCGGAGAGTAAAATCAAAACAAACGTGCATTGCCCCACATGCCACCGAGTTAATGAGAACCTATTGGCATTTTTTTTTTCTTGACACAGGTGCCTTTGCCAAGGTGAAGGAGAGCCAGCGGATGAGTGATGAAGGGAAAATGGACCAGGATGAGGCTGACGGCATTAGGAAACGCTGCCGGACTGTGGGCTTTGCCCTCCAAGCGGAAATGAGCCACTTCCATCAGCGACGAGAGGTGGACTTCAAAGACATGATGCAGGCCTACCTCAGGGAGCAGATAGCCTTTTACCAGCGTGTTGTCCAGCAACTGGAGCGCACCCTGCGCATGTACGACTGTCTGTAAAGACACCGGACTGCTTTCTGGGTCAGGATGTCAAGAGAGAAAAGGGAATGCGCACACACAGAGTGGAAAAAGGAAAGGGAGATTCAAGTCTTGACTCTTTCATCAATGGTTCAGTTAAAAAAAACAAAACAAAACATTTGCAGATGAATGAAGCGTGGGTTTACTGGAAAGACATGCAAAGCCAGTCACTCTTTCACTTTGATAGATTCAAAGTTTATGTTTTATTATTATTTTTTGTGTGTTTTCTTTTTAAGACCTACTGTATCTTTTATTTCTGAAATACACAGCACACAGCATATTGTTTATTTGACATAATTTAAGGTGTTGGTTACATTAAAGTAAGAGTATAGGTTTCATATTCATAGTGGATCTATAGTAGAAACGGGTTCTGTTTTTAAAGTCGTCCCTTTTCTCTTGAGTGTTGTGTAGCGTGGCCTCCACCGGTGATTGATTGAAGTCACATCCAGTGTAAAATGTTTAAACTTTTAGCTGAACTTTCAACAACTTTCATTAAACTATCCAGAATGTCCTCATCAGTACTTCCTGGCCAAAGAAGTGCACTGTACGCTCAAGAGGAATTAGCCCTGTCGATTGCTCGCGTGGCTCAGGCGTTTCATACTTCACGTTAGTTACTTTAACGAAAAAGACAAATGGCTGTCTAAACTTTGCACCATGTGAAAAATGTACTGATAACGTGTAATTTTGTGAGTCCTTTTTTTGTTTTCTCCGTGACGTTTGTGCCTTCAAGGGGGACCGTTGTCTGTCGTCTGCAGTGTGGCTTGTGTTTTACGGGGCGAATTGTTGGAATGAGCTCAGTTACGAGATGAGTTTGCACATGTTCCTTTTTTTTATTATACTGTTAGGTCATCCTGGGTGTGTATGTGTTGTGTGGGTTAAGGAATGTAACGCTGTGCAGATCAATTCCCTTGTCCTTGATGGACAAAACAATGTTTCTTTATATGTAGCAGCAGGTGTATCTGTAAGTTTCATATGAAAAGTGTTCAGGTAGTTTAAGTGGAGCAACTTGTAATCATATAGTTAAAACGAGACCACATTCCTCCCGTGTATTACCCGAGTTTTGTGTTCATATTAAGCATTTTACAACACTGAATGCTCACAAAATAATACTTAGTCTCTTTCCTAAAGCCATAGCAAAGAAATGCATTAATTCACTTCCTTGGCATTAGTTGGATGAGGAGATTATTAGCACACTGGGCCTTACTGCACTCCCTCAGTTAAGAAATATGCAGTTTTAGCTTCTAAGCAAACTTCCAGCTGATTGGCTGTCCCTAATAAACAAGATTTTACCAGCAAGTGGGCGGGGCTTCTACACTCATAGACGATTAGTAGTGTGATACTTTTTTGGTGTCAATCAAAATACAGGGCCAATATATTTCCGATACCAAATACCTTTAACCCATAAAGGCATGAATTTGCAAATTTTGAATACATTTTAATTACCACTACCACTACTCTGATTACTGTGATTGTAACTACTTTCCACAGTAATTACTTGATACAACAAAACACATCCCTCATCCTTTCATGTATTTTGAAACTTTTTTTTTGAGACCTGAAATGTTAATGTTCCTGTCTCTAAAGCGCTTTCGGGTCAACATCTGTTGTTTAAATGTGCTTTAGGCTATAAATAAAATAATCGGGAGCCTGGTAGCCTGGTTTTGTCCCATTGATGATTAAAATGGATGTATACATTCCCATAAATTAAAACTGTTGAAAAACTGATGTGGAAACATTCTAGTTACTGATTTTATTAGTTGTTTTGTTGTTACCTCTTGAACAGGTAGCCCATCAAATTGCCTCCTGTAAAACCAACTTGTCCTTAACCCTTGTTTTTGTACTTATTAAGCAAACCAGATGCAATGTGCTGAATATAGATTATTGCAGTGCTGGCAGATTTTCTTTTCTTTAGTAATAGCTAGGCTAGCTGTTTTCCTTCTTTTCCAGTCTTTGTGCTAAGCTAAACCAGGTGCCAGCTAGAGCTTCTCACGTAACTGACTTGACCAGAGAGTGGAACTGATCCTCTCATTCGACCTACAAATCAAATACGTGTTTCTTATTTTCCCAACATAAAACCGTTACTTCAACAGCAAGTGGCTGTGAGGGCTAGAGGTCCACTTACTCATCTGGTTTAACAAGAGAACATTTTCATGGCAACTTGCGGTTTAGACGAGACTATCTTTAGCATTACCTTGAGGGAATGTTTTCTGACTCTGCTTTGGGATTGAACAGGGGTCGATCTAGCGGTGGTGTGTTTGGGTGACAAGTGGAATGAATTCATTTTTCGTGAAAATCTGCTGCAAATTTCAGTCTTTTAGAATCTTATGAGTGTCCTGTAACAAAAACAAAAAAACATGCTGACTCGGCATGCAGGTTTCCCGGCAAACGAATGCTCTGGTGTGTGTGTGTGTGTGTCTGTGTGTGTGTGTGTGTGACTCAGATACCGGTACTTTTCAGTCCACAACTGCAGCCTTCGACTGCCTGTTGTTGTCTAATTTTGAACAAATTTTTGCGTTTCATACGTAAATTGTATTTTCTTTTCTTTATTATTATTTTTTTTTAAATTTCTGTCAGAATCTACACTCATGACAGACCAAAGATGTGTTAGATTTTTCTACTGGGGCACTCGGTTTTGTTGTGAAATGATAAATGCTCTCTGGTTTTCTTATTCAGTCTGTTTCAAATATTTGGAAAGACCAAAAAAAAAAAAAACAAAGCAAAAGAGAAACATTCCACAAAGAAATGATCGTGGACACCAAAAGGTTGGTGCAGGATTTGGGGAATACAAAGACATGTAAGGCAAAAAAAAAAGAAGACCTCTTTATGTTCCAAAGCTGCACGATAAGTTAAGTGAAAGACATTTCGCACAGATGACTGTTTCTTAATACGGATGTTTGACTTTGTGAGTTGTAGGAGCTCTGTGCTTTAGCTTCTTCCTCTGAAATACCAGATGGTGATTTTTCAGTAAGGAATGTGTCACTTGATTAAGGGGAAGAGGACGTATAAATCTTAATAAAAAGTCATGATGGTAATTGCTGTCTTGTTTTTGTCGTCCATTCAGAAGTCACGCCCTGCATTAACATTATTCTGCACGTATTTCATCTCCACTATTTAGCTGTTGTGTTTCTATTTATTCACAATGACCTCCTTTTTAAAGAAGCTGATAACTAAAGCCTGCATTGCTTGTCCTGTCTTCCTCCTCTCAGCCCCCAACCGGATGGCCGCCCCTCCCTGAGCCTGGTTCTGCTGGAGGCTTCTTCCTGTTAAAAGGGTGTTTTTCTTTCCCACTGTTGCCAAGTGCTTGCTCATAGGGTGTGTTTTGATTGTTGGGATTTTTTCCATATTTTTATAGGCTCTTTTTTTATTGTGTCCACTCTGTGCGTCAGGATATTGGTGATAACAGGATATTATAACACATGCAAACAGTTTTCCCCCCTAAAGTAACCAAAACAAGCACTGCCGGGAGCTGTTATCCCAATTTTCCAGTTTGCGTAAACATACATAGACAGTGAGATGATAACAAAATAAATAAGACTCAAAGAAATGTATGAACATCCTGGCTAACCATGTGAAAAACTGGGGTTGGGGAATCTTTTGATTCAACAGCTGCTGAAGGTCTACTTACGGTGGGGATCCCCTTAACCTTTTGCATTTACACACATTCTGATGAACATTTTATGGAAAGTTTTCTTTAAAGAATGAGGCTGTCCCGTGGAGTTGATTCTCTGAGACATAGTAAATGCCAAACTATCGCCTAAAGAAGTATTACAATATGTTCAAGTGAACCCAGGCTTTTCTCTTTAATGTGTTCCAGATGTTTCGGAAGCGAGCATTTCATTTGGACAGCTCAAATCAACATGTTGGGTTGTTAAAGTGAAGGAGTTGTTGGCATTAATCTTAACAATCGTAAGCGCCCTCTTCTGTTTTAACCCCAACGGCAGGTGTCTTAATAGTGTCTTAATGACACTACTTTGTTAACCTTTAAGTTCCTCCGTGATGACATCCTGCAGAGTGATGCTAACAGATTGCAGATACACCTCTGGCTGTCAAAAGCAGAAAAAAAACATCCAGATGTTAAACCCAGCGCATGGCTTGGAGGCTAGTGTTTCAGGCTTGTGGGATGATGTCACTGTCATGATACGTACCAGGAATAGACATCATCCAGGTTCACTGAGAAACCTAAGACTGACAGAAGGATGAAAACCTAAGCGCGAGGCATTAATCACTGCTCTATAATTCAAGTCGTGAAAGTAAAAGCATCTTCAGAACAGTTGAGTGCATCTTCCACACTCCTGATGGTTACCGCAACGCATTAGCGAAGCAAAAAGGCCTCAATGGCAGTAAAATGACACCGTGGAAAAAGTTCCAAACCCTATTGCCAGAGCAGTGCTAACAGTGCACTTCTCCAACGTGACTCAGTTTATGTGAGTTAGGAAGTGGGGTGAAGGAGAGAGGAGGGGGTGAAAACAAATTCAACTTTGCTCTCTTTGAGGTTTTTTCCGTCAGATGCAGCTGAAGCCTGGATGAAGCCTGGATGAGCTAACCACCTCTTTCCAAAGAGAAGGAAACATTCGAAGTAGATCCAGCTTTTTTTTTTTTTATCATAAAAATCTTAAAATGGTTGCAAACATAGCAGTGTTTCATTTTTCACATACCTGTTTCTACAGGTACATGCTTTTGGAATCATCAAGTCACCTTTACATTGCGGCTCATACGTTGTTGTTTTTTTTTCTTCTTTCTCTTAAAAATCCCAAAGCAGCTCGCTTGGCTCATCATTGGGAAAAGATTGGACCTCTTTAAGGTCCAGAGTGGTGCTGCAGGGGCACATGGTAAAAACGTTATGGCTTAAAGTGCCAGCAGATGTCTATTAAAAAAAGGGGGGAAAAAAAGGGGGGGGGATGCTGAGTGAAGGAAAGGTTTCAGCGTGCAGAGTCTGGGGAAGAAAACTTCTCCTCCAGCCCCACAGACAGCATACCTCAGAGGACACTGCATGCCCAGAGTTCTCATTTGTTTCCCTTAATGAAAAAATCAGTCAGAGCTGCAGAGCACAGAAGCTAATGTGTTTTATGTCCCAGCAACAGCACAACCAAACGTATATCACACGTTTAATAAAAAATAATACAAAATCCGAGGTCTCACAGTGAGCCGGGAGTGAGTTTCCCTGGAGCTTGCAATCGTGTGCACAGCGCATTTCAAAGGGATACACTGAGGATGCTGCTGCTTTTGTGAATGAGCTGTTTGGCTTCTGCAGCCACTGCGATGACATGGACTTGACCTCTACGGTGCACAAGGATTACAGCGTTCTCCTCCTCCTCGAGCATCTGAAGGAAACAAAGGCAACAGATGGTCGAATCAAAATACATGGTGGGTCTGGTAATCCCTCTTCCGGCTCCTCCCGCTTGCTGCTGGGGCCAACGTCACAACTGGGCCAAGAAAAAAACAGAAGAAGCCAACTTTAAAGGCAGATTTGTGGCTCCATGTATTTTCGTTTTGGGAGGCAAATCCTGGATTACAGATTTAACTTTATAGCCAGATAAGTTTGCTCACATTCAGTTCTGGAATTCAAATATAGAGACTTTTTTTCTGTTCAGACTGATTGATTTTAATGCAAAAATCTTTTTTTAAAAATTAAATATTGACAGTTAAATTGATACCTTGGGATCTCTTTAGGGTTGTCCCAAACCCCTACAGTAGGACCCAGCAGCTTAGCACTGCTGAGGATTTCAGTGTGTTTAACACGGCCACCTTAAATGTGGAATCACATCTTTAACAAGTTGGTTCGAAACGGCTCCAGAAACTATATTTGTAAACTGACACATGTGTGTGGGAGCCACGCTTCTCAGCAAATGATGACTTATGTATCGCGAGACTAAACAGTGTACAGATGTAGTCAGCAAAACTCGCCGTTTAAAGTCCTCCACTGTTTGACGCGTCAGCTAATAGTTTCATTAAGAGATGACGGTGAGATGTGTGCAGAGGCAGGTGTGGGTTGAGGCTGATGAAAATATGGTCACTGTAGTGTTTCTGAAACATATGGGAATTATTTTTGAAGTACTCGTCTTCTGGGAAATTCTCAGGATGCGTCAAAACAAAAGAGGACCTTAAAGGGTCACTCACTGATTTTACACAATCATTTCTGCTACTGTGGAACATAAGAGGGAACTTTATTTGTTCATTAGTGAGCATAAAAGTATCAATTAATGTAACAAAATGTTAATTACCTGCACTGACATATACTCACCGGACACTTTATTAGGTATACCTGTTCAACTGCACATTAACGCTAATATCTAATCAGCCAATCATATGGCAGCAACTGCATTTAAGCATGTAGACAGGGTGGAGATGACCTGCTGAACTGTTCAAAGACAGCATCAAATTGGGGCAGAAAAGTGATCTAACTAATGTGGTTATTGCTGGTGCCAGACTGGCTGGTCTGACTGTTTCAGAAATTGCTGAGATGGAATTTTGAGACGGGATCTGCTGGGAGTTTCTCACACAATCCCATCTCTAGGGTCTGAAAAAGAAAAAAAAAAATCCAGTGAGTGACAGTTTTCTGGTTGAAAATGCCTTGTTGATGTCAGAGGTCAGAGGAGAATGCAGAGACTGCTTTAAACTAATAGGAAGGCGACAGTAACTCAAATAGCGACTCGTTTCAACCAAGATGTGCAGCAGAGCGTCTCTGGTCACACACTGTGTCAAACCTGTTAAAACTCTGGCTGGTCTGACGAGCCATGATTTCTGCTATGACCATCTACATGGTGGGTCAGAGTTTGGCATATAATACATGAAAAAAACTACTTTGTATCAAACATTCAGGCCGCTGGTGGTGGTGGATGGTTAACCACCACAGCCTACCTGAGAAGTGTTGCTGACCATGTCCGCCCCTCTATGACCACAGGGTACTTATCATCTGATGCCTGCTTCCAGCAGGACAACACACTGTGTCACAATATTAAAATCATCTCAAACTGGTTTCTTGAGCACCACAATGGACCTCCACTGGGCTCCACAGTCTCCAGATCTCAAAGATTTGCATCATGGCAATCGGCAGCAACTGTGCAACACTATCAGGTTAATATGCACCAAAATCTCTGTGGAATTTCAGCATTTTGTTGAATCTGTGCAATGAAAGCCTAAATAAAGGGTGTCCAACTTGGTACTGGCAAAGCGTACATAGTAAAGTGTCTGCTGTGTTTAGTTCATAGCATGGCTCTTTCTCAGGCTTAATCTTTACCTCTTTGTGCTAAATCTCTGTTTGCCTTTGGCTGCTGTTCTGTCTAGACCTTTGTCTTGTTATGTCTCTCTGTCTGCCCTCCTTCATCCCTCTGTCTTCTTGCCCTCCACTCAAATACTGATAAGGGGGTGGGGTGACCTAGACTTCAGCCTGACTGGTTCCAGATGCATCACTCAAACTCAAACTCAAAGGCCTACAGGCTGCCTCAATAATGTGTAATTGTTTTGTGTAATTTTAACTTTATTTGTTCGTATGTATTTGTCTTGAAATGTGCTGCCTCTTGGCCAGGACTCCCTTGAAAAAGAGGTCTTTGATCTCAACGGGACATTCCTGGTTAAATAAAGGTTAAATAAAAAAAAAAAATCACTGTGAGAAATCAAAGTGTTTCTCAGATGGTGAACGCGCTTTCTTCTACCTGGTAAGCCCTGCAGATTAGACGTGTAGCTTTGCCACCTATAACAGATGTCAAGTCTCCTCAAGCCAGTAGAAATCGAAGTCTTTGTCTCTGTTGCTGCACAGAACGTTAGCCTTGAAAACTCCAGTTTGCTCCCCCCCCCCCCCGCCTCTCTCTCACACACACATTATAGATACCAACACTGAGATTAGAGGTCACGTCTCCGTTGGCTTCCACATTTACTCTTCTGGTCCTTTTTTAATACTTCTTACTAAAACAGCATAGACTAAAGGCTGGTTGAGAAAGGACATTCCAGTGGGCTGGACTCAAAAAGCTTCTACATTCTTCTGGAAAGTCCCATTAAAATCTTTTGCCTTGGTTTATTTTTTTCTTCTTTTTTT